CCCGTGACCTCCTGCCAGCGGGCGTTCGACACTTCACGTGGCCTCAAGGTGCACTTGTCCTGGCACAAGCGTCGTGGTGACGTCACCGCCACTTAGTGGCGAATGGCGGTTGTTGTTGTGTGCGGTAGGAGCGCACGAGTCGACTTCAATAGGTGCTCGCTAACAGCATTTGGGTCTCTACGTGAGTCTCTGGGTCTCCACGTGAGTCTGTGGGTCTCTACGTGAGTTCCGCGGGTCTCTATGCGAGTCTGTTGGTCTCCACGTGAGTTCCGCGGGTCTCTATGCGAGTCTGTGGGTCTCTACGTGAGTCTGTGGGTCTCTGAGTCTGTGGGTCTCTACGTGAGTCTGTGGGTCTCTACGCGAGTCTGTGGGTCTCTACATGAGTCTGTGGGTCTGAGTCTGTGGGTCTCTACGTGAGTCCGTGGGTCTCTACGTGAGTCTGTGGGTCTCTGAGTCTGTGGGTCTCTACGTGAGTCTGTGGGTCTCTACGCGAGTCTGTGGGTCTCTGAGTCTGTGGGTCTCTACGTGAGTCTGTGGGTCTCTACATGAGTCTGTGGGTCTCTGAGTCTGTGGGTCTCCACGTGAGTCTGTGGGTCTCTACATGAGTCTGTGGGTCTCTGAGTCTGTGGGTCTCTACGTGAGTCTGTGGGTCTCTATGCGAGTCTGTGGGTCTCTACATGAGTCTGTGGGTCTCTACGTGAGTCCGTGGGTTTCCATGTGAGTCTCCACGCGAGTCCGCGGGTCTCCACGCACGAGAGTCATTGGGAGACGCTGTGCGACCAGTGCTGCCTTTTTGTCGTTCGCAACGCCGATTCGAAGCGAGGCTCCTAGCGGTGCCGGCTGTTCCGGAGTCCCTTCCACTTGAGAACCGCCCACCCACCACCCCCCCCCGACCCCCCCCGACCCCCCCTCTTGCTGCGTGAATGTTTTTATAAAAGTCGTGGAATTCCGCTGCTAATGAGTCCCCCGCGGGGCACGTTTGGGGGAGTGTGCGGGCAGCAGCAGAGGTCTGCGCACAGCTGGTGCAGCCTCGACAGGTGGCGCGTGACGATGGCGGCGGGCTGTCACTCTCGACTTTGGCAGTCCCCGTTAAACGAAAGCCTGACTGCAGCGGCTTCGCCCCAGCGGCGATGTTTTTACACACCGCAACCAGGTACTCGCTTGAGGCCGAGTCGACCTAGGGGAGGCCCGGGACCGGGGTCTGTAGCGCGGGGCTCTGGCCGCTGCAGCACCGCTCAGCACTACCGCTACACTTGCCGATAGCAAAAACAAAACCAAAGGTTTCCCCCCCCCCCCCCCCCCCCGTGTAGCCTTGGCAGATTGTTGGGTCAAGTGCTGCGAGCGATAACAAACACGCAGACAAAGATCCCCTGTGTAGCCTTAGCAGACTGTTGGGGCAAGTGCTCCGAGCAATAATAAACACGCAGACAAAGATCCCCCGTATAGCCTTAGCAGACTGTTGGGGCAAGTGCTCAGAGCGATAATAAACACGCAGACAAAGATCCCCCGTATAGCCTTAGCAGACTGTTGGAGCAAGTGCTCGGAGCGATAATAAACACGCACTCTTTGATATCGGTATCACAGAAACGCACGCACACACACACGCGCGCACACAACAAAGATAAATATCCCCCGTATAGCCTGTAACAAACTGTTGGGGCAAGTGCTGTTTTCGAGTAGCACCCACGAAGGCCGGCACTGTGGCACAGGAGGGTGCGGATGTAACCAGCACCACGCTCGGCCGCCTTTGTCTCCCCAGCCACGATGTTTACACACCGCACCGGTTACTCATTTAAGTCTGAGTCGACCTAGAGGGAGGTCCAGGACCGGTTCAGATAATCGTCACTGTTGGTGTTGGCCGAGAGCGGGAATCGAACCCGGGTCGCCAGGTTCGTAGCGCAGCGCGCTAACCGCTACACCACCGTGCGCACACACACACACGCGCGCACACACACATACACACGCGCGTGGACACACACACGCGCGCACGGACAGACACACGCACGGACGGACACACACACACACACGTGGACATACACACACGCGTGTGGACAGACATACACACACAAGTGCGCACCCACACACCCGCAATCACCCACACACCCGCACACACACAGACCCACACACCCACACACCCGCACACACACACACCCACGCACGCAAGAGGGCGAAAGCGGAGCGGTTCCGCGGGGCGTGACGGACGGATTAGAATCGATGTCGACTTGCAAGAGGACCGCGGCCGACAGAGACACGGAACTAATTTTGCGAGCCCAGGGGCTGCGGTTTTTTTGTTACCAAATCCGGCTGCGGCTGCTGTGGCTGCTGCGGCATCTGGCGCGGAACGACGGACGAGGAGGAAAGCCGAGCGCCGAGTAAAATCGCACTTTGATGTGTTCATCCCGAGGGCGACGCACACGCTCGCCAAAACTCCTCGGTTGGCTACGGCCACGCGGCTCCCGGTTCATCCTCACAACGACGACGATGATGATGATGATGGTAA